TAAGTAACTATTACCGAAAGGGTAACAGATGTAACTAAGTAAGTAACTATTACTGAAAAAAAGGAAGAAATCATTTTACATACAATTGACAGCTACTTTCATTCAAATTAATTAGGTATCCAGTAGGATATTTAAAAAACAGAGGAATGTTAAGAGGCAGTTACACATTGAAGACAATGGTGAATGGTTGCGTAATATCGTGGATTGGTTGAAATTAGACATAAACACTGTTGAATAGCGACTCAATGGTCTGGAGATTTAAAAATTCGCGCGTCGAGATCGAAGATCCTATGTTCAAATCCCTTTGGTGTGGGATCGTGGATGTGACCGTCTGACGAGTCGTATACTGAGATCAAATGGTCGTTCAATGATTCTAGATTTTCAATGGTGATCTAGCTTAGATCGATTCATGAAGTCAACTATAGAGATACATTATTAGTTCATTTAAGAATTTTATATAGATACTTTATTTATCGGTTTAAGAGTTGTAGATATTATGGACCGATTGATGTTAGACCACCATTGAAAACCTGGAAGCACTGAACGGCCGTTTCGTCCTATTGTGAAACTCCTCAACGATCCCATACCAAAGGGATTCGAACCCAGCGCTGTCAGTCTCATGCGCGAACGCTTAACCTACTGGGCCAATGAACCGGCACCCAATGGTGTTAATGTCTAACCTCAACCAATCCACCAAGATGCGCGACCATTTTTTATTGTACTGAGGTAAACACCTGTTTTTACCCGAAATGGATTAGCTCCACTGGTCACGGCTTCTCACTAGAACTCCGAGAATTTCCCCAAGTAGCTCGTTATTAGTGAGCACATGTTAATTATCAGTTTAGGAATTGTGTAGATTGTTAGGCTTTTGATTAAGATCATGAAGCAATTGATGTTCATTGTTACTAGGCTCTCAATGGTGGTCTACCATCAATCGGTTCAAGATTTTAATCGAATACTTTATCTGTTTGTATGGCTATAGATGTGTATGTGAGGTAGTAGTAGTAGTAGTAGTAGTAGTAGTAGTAGTAGTAGTAGTAGTAGTAGTAGTAGTAGTGTAGTGTGTGCTACTTATATTGACATAAGTCGTAGATGATGTTAGTCTCGAAAATAATGTCTGGCAACAGAGAGACAAGAGGATCGAACAGTAAAGAATGGAAACAGAATGCAATTTGTATGAAAATGCAAGAACAATGAAGTTCGAGTCATTATGAGACAATAGATTGACATTTAGCAAATTAAACATTCACTCTATAATTGTTAGATTTTATTAACAAGTCCTGTAAGTTATATGTCAAATACATTCGATTGTCCCCCACTGGTGTTCGTGTCCACTACAGTAGTAGTGTGAATACAAGTCATATAATGATCTCAACAGTTTACTTTCTATTTATTTAATGGTGAATTATTTCTTAAGTTTTAACTTTTTCCTCATATAAGTAGTATGTTTTAATGTTAGTAATATAAAATAGTGATGATAATAATAGTGTCATATTTCATTCAGGAAATGACTAGAATGAAAAAGAAACTCTTATTTGATGAGTGATATAAAGTTTATCGGTTGAATAAAATGTGAGGTAGTTTTATGACGATTTACTGATGATTTACTGTATCTTTTATACTTTCCCTTTCTTTATCTCTTTGTCTTTTTGTTTCTTTTAAGAAAGAATTCGATTAAGTGAACTTCAATAAATCATAGTTGTCTTATTTACCAATTGTATATTCATCTTAAGTTGATATTCCTTGATAGGAGTTATCATTGTGAAAGAATAAAAGTTTCGATCCAGAATTCATAATATTTATCGAAGTTAGACCATCATGAATAACCTGGAAGTATTGGACGACTGTTTTATTCAACTGTAGAACTCCTCACCTACGAAACTGAAAATCTTGGGTTCGAATCCTTTTAGTGTGAAATTGTGGATGGACACTGTTGAGGAATTCTACAGTAGGATGAAACGGTTGTCTAGTGCTTTCAGATTTTCCATGGTGATCTAGTTTCAATTGACTCATGAATTCAACGATTACATTATTATAATATCCACAAAACCTTTTCTGATACTTATCACTGTTCATCAAGATCTACTTATTATCTTGTGGAAATTGGTGTTTTCTGTAAGATTCGAGAAATATGTCATCTAACACATCAGAACTTATATGAATAGTTAAATTTTGACTTGATCAATAGAATTCGATTAGAAACAATTAATGTTTAAATATGACATTGGTCATTTGTATTCGATTTATAAACTGTAAGCCTGGATAGTGTCTAGCCCTCCTGCAACTGGTTTTGAGTTGTATTGCTCAGGTAAAAACTGGACAATGTCTGGTTACCGTATATCACGACGCAAGCCCTGACTTGAAGTCGCGAAGGGAAGCGAAAGAGAGAAAGGCCAAAGAATACATTACGTGAGGAAATAGAATCAGATATGAAAAGAATGAATAACAACTGGAAGAAATTGGAAAGGATTGCCCAGGATAGGGTTGGATGGAGAATGCTGGTGAGCGGCCTATGCTCCTTCACGAAAAGTTTGTCTGAATGATAGAATGTATAATCTCTGTTTAGCCAAAACCGTCAACAAAGTGACGGTTGCCTACTATTTAGTTTTGTATTGATTCATTAATGAAAATGACCAATGATGGGTAATTCAAGTTCCTCGAGTTTCTTTTCTAAGATCGTAAAAATGTCATTCAATAAAAATATAATCGAGCAAACTGAGTAAGTATTCATCAAAATCTTGAAGACGATACAGAACTAATCAGATACCCTAAATCATTTGATCTGTTGATCTTACAACTGAGCGGTTTCAAAAAAGTTACACAGGAACAAAGTCACTATTTAAATTCACTTGATGTTGTTTACTTGAATCTTCCTATTGAAGTTTAAGACTGCAAATGATCAGTCTGTTATTGACATATGTGCATACTGTGTGTATGCATCGATATTGCCTTAATTCACAAGATTTTATAAGCAAAGATAGATAGTGGCTAGCGTTAAAATCCACTTTGTCACACGTTTCGTCCTAATTGGAACTCGTCAGCTGGATGAACCTGCGTTTCAGAGTTCATATTCACTCTGGGACTCGAACTCATTACCATTCACTTCAAACGCCATCATGATATTCACTTAGCTACTGAGTCTTGATAGCCACTTGCTTGTGCAATGAGGTGAAGTTTAAATTCACTTCGTATTACTTATTTGAATTCTTCTCATTGATGTTTAGAACTGCAATTGATTAGTCTCTTAGTAGCATATAGTGCATACTGTACGTATTACCTCGTGATTGCCTTAAATGAGGAAGTTTTTGAATGTTTACTATGGACTATCCAGATTTCAAACATTTTGATACCAAGTTACTGATTATTCATTACCATTAATGATCTTCAATCAATCAATAATTTAAGTATGTTTTAACAATGGGTCATCTCTTTAAGCCCATTCAATTTTTATACTTTTCAGTATAGTTGGTCTTGTGGATCAAGTGATGTTATATATTTTTACTATTTAGACTTAACACTTACAAGATTACATAAGTAATCCATAGTATAACCATGCACTAGAACTTATAAACTTCTATACTTACGTAATTAGTACTATACTGAATGAGAACACAAGCAAATGTACTTGGATACAAAATTACATAATCACTTAGTCAAATCTCAGAACCATACAGTAAATAGTTCATTTACAAAATGTCAATCAATCGTCTCAGATTTCATTGTTCTTTCGTTTCCACATCCATTCATTCTCTGTTCTCTCTTGTACTGCCAGGTATTTCACTTTCGATTCATGATACATACTACTTATATGTGATGATATCAATAATACACACTACAGTACATTTTTAATATAAAGCTAATTAACAAATCCATGATTTATAAGCTATGTAAGGCAAGTCAACAATTAAACAACTGGAAACATAAAGCTTATTATGACGCTTATATATGTATGTAATATAAACCAACCATCTGATATATGTTCATTAGACTTATACAAGTTCATTGATTCACTAAAGAACAGTTTATATATTTCTAATTTTCAATTCCAGCTCCAATATTCATTATCACTAGAGTATTTGAATACAAAACTCCATCTGGAGCCCCTGTAAGGGTACTACTGGTCCCAAGCCCAGATTAAGAAGAAGAGTTGGGCATAGGTTTAGCGACCCCACACTGTAGAAAAAGAACTCGCTAGAAAAAACGCTAACCAGAACAAATTATTCAAACCATTTGAATACAAACTGTATGAGTAGTATATTATTACCTGTTAAGTTATATTTGACAATTTTATTAACGACAACTCTCTTGAAACATTCAACGAATAAAGAAAAGGAGACATTACATCAAACGGGGGGTGGCGGACAGAAATGGTTGTTAAACAAACGTTCTTCATTTAATTTTGAAAATATTGACCAGTGCTTTTCATTTTAATAATATAAAGATTAAGTTCTCATTGTAAAAGCTGAAAGTTTTTATTTCGACATTTAACAGGATCATAGTTAGATACTACTGAGAATTCTAATACTTGAACGAAACAATTATCCAATCTATCATCATTTCTAATGGTTCCCTTAACAACGAATATAATAATTGAATTTATGAGTCAGTTAAAGTTAAATGAACACAGAAGCACTGGAAAACTGTTTCGTCCTAGTATGAAACTCTTCAACAGTACACAATCACAATCCTGCAACCAGTATTCGAACACAAAATTTACGATTATAAGCATTTTGTAATCTAGAAGTTAAGTGTTCGCATATCAAAACCGATGAATCCTGGGTTCGAATCCCTTTGTTACAGAATCATGAATGTATACTGTTAAAGAATTCTATCATAGGATAAGATTGTTGTTCACTACTTCAAGATTTTCTATCATAATCTAGCTTTAATGAACTCATGTATTCAACTATTAAATGACTACACTTTACACATAACCCACCTTCTAATATCACCAATCTATTAACATTAAATATTTATATATTTATTAAAAAAATACTTACCAATTAACATGAATAATCCAAAAAATACTTTAATGATTGAATTCATCATCAACATTTAATACATTTGAATAATAATAATTAAGTTTATTCAATACTCTTTATTCATTTACATTATATTAAGTATATAAGTAGTATATAGATAGTTTATTATATAACATTTATCATTATTTATTTATTACTTTACTCATCAAATCATATTGTTTATTATGAATCAAAGTTTTATGATTTTTTTAAAAAAAATAAATAAATGAAAAGAAAAGAAAATTTAAATAAACACTTTATTCTCATTGGTCGATTCATTCCATGACCTTGAGCGGTAGCTTTTCGACCAATCAGAAGCTTAGAATTTGTTTTTTTTGCAAAAAATTTTCTTTTTTAAAAATTTGTTAAGGTGTTTTTTTTATTTAAGTGAAATAAATTAATTTCAATGGTTAAGATCATGAATGAGTTGAAGATAAACCACCATGGAGAACCTGGAAGCATTGGACGGTCGTTTCGTCCTATTGTGGAACTCTTTAGTAGTGCGAGTCCACGACCTCAACCCCTGCGGGATTCGAATCCGGGACCTACTGGTTTCGCGCACGAGCACTTAACTACCAGAGCACTGAGCTAACCGGCATCCAACGGTGTTAATGTCTAACTTCAACTGATCCACGAAATTGAACGACACATCCACCAATGTCTTCAGTGAATTACTACCTCACAACAGACCTGGTTAAACTCCACTGGTCACTACGTCTCATTAGAACTCCAGGATATACCTCTTGAAGTCAGTCACTAGTGAGCATATGTTGATTAATATCAGAAGGGTTTTTATGGATCTTATCCATTGAAATTACTATAATATTCACAAAACCCATCTGAAATATATTACTTAAATGGATAGAAAAAATCTTTTTAAAAAATTACTTTTTTTGGAAATAAAAAACAGAAATGATTTATGATATTTGAATGAATTACTTGTTATTACCAATTATAATATATAGAAGGAATGAATATACAATTCATTGTCATTTAAGGGTAGGTTTGTAGAAACATTTAAAGGATGAATACAATCATATAGAATCATCTATATCCATGTATATTCTCTTTAATTGTGTTGTGAACTGTTATAAATGGTATTTTGTTGTTTCATTCCTTCCTTCCTTCTTTCCTTCCTTCCTTCCTTCATTCATTCATTCATTCAGGAGTGGAATGTATATAAAGAGTGATCTAGTTGGTTTGTTTGCTTTACTTAGTGAATAAGAATAAAAAGAAAAGATTGAACAACTGTTTCTATCATTCCAATATGGGTTACTTTTCTTTTTTTTTAAAAAAAGAAAGAAAGAAAAACAAAAAGAAAAACTACTATATTTCTCGTTATGGTTTTGTTTTGTTTTGTCTTGTTGTTTTATAAAGGAAAAAAGAAAGAAAGACAAATACCATGGGGTGATGATCATATCTAATTAACTAGTTATAGTAAAGATAATTACATGAAAGATAAATAGTCATAGATGACAAAAGAAAGAACGAAAGAAAAGAAAGAAAATGTCATGTAACTAATAGGACAATGAATATTTCCATATAAAATAAATCAATTCTATATGGATTGTTATATAATGAAGACCTAGACATTTGAAGAGAAAGCATGGAATACGTTGAATAACATGGAATCAATTAGATTTGAACTTTATAGATCACCTAGCTCTACCAATCAATGCATGTCAAGACAAATAGTGTAGTAGAAGCCTTTGAATCAGTAGGCTTCAATATAAACAAAAAGAAAAGTAAGATTCTCAAATACAATAGGGAAAACAACAATCTAATCACAATTGATGGACAAGCTCTCTCAATTACCTGGAAGGTATCATTCATGAACATGAAAAATCTGATGCAGATGTAAAAGAGAGGATTAACAAATCAAGAACAGCATTCCAACAGTTTAACAAAATATGCAACTCAAAACAACTGTCTATCAACTAATATCAAAGTTACAATTTCCATTACGAACGTCAATACAGTTAGTAGCTGCCAAGGATTGTTGAGGATAGGGTTCGATAGAGAATGCTGGTGAGCGGTCTATACCTCTTCATGAGGAGTAACAGGCGTAATTAAAAGTGAGTAAGTTCAAGTAGAAGTGAAGTGTTTAAATTTCTCTATATATATGGTTCACAGCTTATCCTGTACACCATGATGTCGATTGGTTCTTGTTGACCTGAAACCTATCATTGTTTACTTCCTTATTTTGGTTGTATTTTACTAATCCATCCATGAATGATTGACATTCAAGTATATATCATATAATAAGCTATCAATTTACGATATAGACTAGATGAAATGTGTCTAGCAGTGGAATTTAGAATGCATGTGTTTGTTGTATTTGTGATGCGTTAGAAATGGAATGAAATGCACATCCTAGATTCCACTATCAGTAATAGTGAGTCAATCCGTACTAGATGCCTATGTCCCAACTAGAACTGATCAAAGGTTAGTCTAAGTTATCAACAACACAAAAATGTAAACCATATTTAGTCACTTGAATGTAGTTACATGCTTAATATACTATACTAATATGTATTCATAACAATCTTCAACTAGACTCATTCATTTAGATAAAGTTTTCTTCTCTGAGCTGGATGGTTAGGTCGTATATGTCGTTTACATGTTATCTTGATGTCTATTGTCAAACTTCCCAAATATTCCAACATGAATGTTCTTTGTAGCTTCATCTTTTGATCGTCTTCCAGTTCAGAAAATAAAATCATCCATTTGAGCTATAAATCTTCTCCACCATCTTCTAGACTTATCCATGTAAGTTACTTTCATCATAATTTAGAATTATAATTTTCAAAAGATTATAGATTGTAACCAACTAATAAGAATTCAGTAAAAATCAAATGAATTAATGTTATTCTTGACTTTTTCTATCTTTAAAATCAACATATTTGTGATTAGTATCAGAAGGGGTTTTGTGGAGATTGTAGCAACTTCAAAAGTTGAGATCATGAGTCAATTGAAGCTAGACCAACATGAAAAGCCTGGAAGCACTGGATGGCTGTTTCGTGGATGCTCACTACTGAGGAATTCCACGATAGAACGAAACGTCCGTTCGATGCTTCCAGGTTTTCCATGGTGGTCTAGCTCCAATTGACTCATAATCTCAACTGTTGATATTTGTGATTCACTACTGGTTAATTAATGAGTATGAACTGTGTTATCACTTGTGACCACCGATTAGAGGGCATTGAATTATCGATCGGACCAAGGATGCGTAAAACACATGAGACCAGCCTAGAGTTCTGATTGATCCTGTTTATCGGGATAAAACAAACTGATTTAGCTACTGGTTTAAGTAAGCTTACATTGAACGAACTATTATAAGATTTAAAGTAGTTCAAAGTAATCTGTAGTGATTCCTTGATTTAGTATTCGTGTTTATGAGAACACTGATTCACATGCATTCTGAATTCTGTACACTTTAGTATTATAATCAGAGATATGACTACTAGACTATTCAAACCTTTAACAACGTATTCCAGAAATGGTATATTTTCACTTACAATTATCAATCAACCCAAAACTTTGGTCAAAAACTTTCGATCCATCGTCTCCATCTGTATAACTTCTAATCTATCATTATTCAGATTACTAACAAATCATATGAAATATGAGAAGGTTCATATAAAACAGCATATAAGTGCCATTAAACTTAATGAAAGCAAATCAGTCAAGTATTTACAGACAAAAGAAACAAGATTACATGTACAGATTACTTACTTACGTTTGTTACCCCTCGTTGAGCAGCACAGGACGACCATCAGCATACTCCATCCAACTCTGTCCTTGGTAATCATTCCCATTTCTTTCCAGTTAATGTTCATTTTTTTCATATCCGCTTCCAATTCTCGACGCAGTGTGTTCTTTGGTCTTCCTCTTTTTCATTCCTCTTCATGATTCCAAGTCAGTGCTTATTTCAAGATGAAATTTAATGATTTCTTCAATATGTGTCCTATTGACTTCCAATATTTTTTCTTAATTGTCTCTTCAGCCGAAAACTAGTTTGTCCTCTTCCACAGTAGATTGTTGCTGACTGATTATTGATTGTTGCTGAGAGTGTCCAGTCAACGGACAATGATTATCTTGTATAAACAACTGTTTATAAATAATTGTACTATTTTGATGGTAGTAGTATTTCTCCACATTTAAGCTCCGTACTATAAAACTAACTGTGTTGACGTTCGTAATGAAGATTGTAACTTTGTTATTGGTTGATAGACAGTTGTTTTGAGTTGCATATGTTGTTCCACTGTAGGAATATCATCCTGTAGAAAAAGATCTTGCCGAAAAAACGCTAACCGGAATAAACAAATTCATGTACAAATTAGACACAACATATTTCAATCAGTATGAAAGAGAATATCTTTGATGATAATAATAAGTTCATAAAAGTAAATAAACATCACAGAACATAATAGATGCACAAAAATTTCATTTAACTTTTTTGTAGATATTTGTACTAGGATCAGCAATGAAATTAACAACGAGACATGTCATCTGAATGTACTTACATCTAGAGATAAACAAATCTTTACAAATCCATATATACATTAAATAAATCCATGATAAGTTCTAAGCAAAGATGGATAATGGATAGCAGTGGAATCCAAGACATGCGTTTCGTCCTAGTTGAGACTCGTCAGATGGATGCAAGTACATGCAACTTTCATTTCAAACGCCATCAGGATATCCAATTAACTACTGAATTTCAATAGCCACTTGCTTGTGCAATCGAGTGAAGTTTACATTCACTTGGTATTGTTTACCTGAATCATCCCTTTGATTTTTAGGACTGTAATTGATCAACACAAGGATGCAGGTACACACAGCTAACAAGTCCCGATTTGGAAAAAAAGCGTATCCTGGATTCCAGTGTTAACCACTACCCATCCATCTTTGCTTAAAATGCTTGTGAATTAAGACAATATCGAGGCATATGCACATATGCCAATAAGAGACTGATCAGTTGCAGTCTTAAACATCAATCGGAAAATTCAAACAATTTTATCAAAATGGACC